CGCGTATATTTTTAGCGCAATTCAACAATCGCGCGATCTTGATTCTCGATCTTTCTGCATCAAGTAACCGCCGTGGACACATCAATCGATATTGCTCCCCTTTTTACGCGTCTTTAACCCGTCGAAAGTAAGTCACGCGCGGAAATAAATATCGGGAGTGTCGAGAATAGCGATGTGCGATCGCCGGGACGTATCATGAAAATGTCATTTGTAAGTAATCTTCTATGTAAAGTCTAATATGTAAAGTGATCAGATTTCCCAGTCCTGAATTCGGGACACTTCATAAATGTGTAAAGCGCAGGACGAGGGACGGGGAGGGGAGGATAAAAAGATCCGAAAATTATTTGACAATTATTGAAAATGATGACAAACCGGTGTCCCAAATAGCACTCGAAAGAATTCGGGACAAAGGGTGAAAAATCAGGACTGTCCCGAAAAAATCGGAATGTCCGATCATCTTATTATTATTACAGCGATTTACGAATTTACGAGAGCAAACCGCGGACGTGCCTCGTCGTTTAGCACGTTTTCGCCGAGATAAAAAGAGACACTTAACCGCGGCGAATTGCGAATGATTCATTAACCAGCGACTCCTTTTTTCTCTTGTTACAGACAAAGCTCCCTCGGAGGCGTCCTTTAGAGGAACTGAGTATCTTACGATAGATTTGAGCAAAGGCGACCCGGTGCTTAGTACACAGGAATCCATAAGCCTGCAGTTCAAGACGAGACAGCCGAATGGACTTTTATTTTATTCCGGTAAGTGCTTACTGTGTGTGTATATGTGTGTGTGTATAAGAGAATGAGAACGTGTGTCTGCGCTGAACGACTTCCTTCTCGCCGGTCGTAATAACTTCCCTCCAAGTGGCGTTTTCATTTCCACTTTCGGATTTAGTTGCCGAATACGTTCGTCCTCGCTTCGCGGGACGCGGCGATTCGTGCGGTGAACACTTAGGACGAAAATGTCAAGAGAGACTTGGCTTTAACCGTCTTAAAATCGTTTCTGTGCGAATCACCACGCGGACCAGAGCAAAATCATCGACATACGTGCAATGTGCGGAGAAAAGCATTGTTGATCTCACTGCAAGGTATGCCCAGTAAGCACCGATTGTATGAGCAACGTAACATCAATGTTATAATTTCCCACTCGACAATGTGAATGTAACATAGATGTTATGTAACAGTTACGTTGTTGAACGGGAAATTATGACGTTGACGTAGTGTTACAATTAGTTGGCGTTTACTGGACGTTTACTAGGTAATTTCGCTGTCAACATCATATATTTCGTTGTTCTAAAAATTCTGTTCTACTTGAAAAAATTTATTTGAAAAATTGTAGGAAGATAAAAATATCACAGCTTTTTTCTTTGGATAGGTATTTAATCCTGCACATTCTTATTGTATTGGTTTGTAAATGCATATTTAAACGGAAAATATGTATATATTCAATATATGTATACAATGAGACGAAAATATCTAAAAAAGAGTGAAAAATGCTTATTCGCGATAGGTATTAATAACATATTTACTTAAATCTAAATTCCTTTTAAATTGAACAAACAATTGCTTTCATATATAGATATTTATTTTCTTTCAGCTTACATAGCCACTTGGGAGGATTTGGTTTACATTTATATTCTTTAGTCACACACATCCATTTCTCATTTCTATCTGTCTCTAATTATTAATATTCCTATAGTTGTAATATCTTATTTCTACTTGCATGCAGCAGTGCAGCTGAAAAAAATAGATCTATAATTCCTGACTTACCA